CTCCATTTCCCGAGCTTCAAGTGTTCACCAGAGCTCTCTCTTTCCCTAGGCTCTTCTTGATTTGGCGTTTGAGGGATTTAATTGCGCCGTCGTACTGCTGCTTGCTGGATACCGAACTGAATGATATTCAGTGGCCTTGCGGTCCAATAGGAGAATTCCGACAGGCAGCTCTGAACGCCGCTAGCACAGTTCCTCTCACATTTTGCCACACTCTATCCACGTGCTCACTACCGAGACAGCATTGGGTTAATGTGGGGAGTTTTTGGGCTTGTTCAAATCGATACTGTTGAGCTATGGTAGGTATTCGAAGATAGTGGATTGGCATGCTTCCAGCCGACTTGCGGGGGCCTGGAGAGAAACAATTGTCAGGCGTGCACACACCATGGTTTGATCAGAATCGGACTGTGTGCTCCAGAAGGAACGGAAGTCCTAAGTTGTGGCTGTCCTACGATGTCTGATGGGCACGTGATCCAACTGCGTTCATTGTTGATTTGCAAATGGTGACCGCCAGGTTGTGGAACGCCAACATTTATGTCGAAAGTTTGTACTTGCCAGAAACAGTTGATGATCAGCACACAACTGAAGGTTTGCTATCCATTTTCTGTGCGACGAGCATCGACTCCGAATCGACCATTCCAATGTTATTCCAAGGAGCTCAGACGACCTACCCGGGTATTTATGTCGCCTGCAAGGACCACAGTATCAGTGCTTCTTGCTTGACGAATGATCCTAGATAACTCTCGATAGAAAGTGTCCCCAACATCAGACCTGCAGTCTGTTGAGGCATAAACTGATGCCACCGACAGACACCGGTTTTTATGTCAAGAGGCATTTAGCTCGATTGAGCTGGATAACCGAAAGGCGCAAAGACGACTATTCCCTGGGATCCAACCCAACAAACGCCCTCAGCTCTTGGGCTGAGTGCAGCTCCCACATCATATATTACACGAGTTATTGCTTCTGGATCACCACACTTGGGTCTTGTATGAGTGTTTCGGGTACGCAGCATACATTAATTTTAAGGAAATATAAGGTTTCAGCAAGCATTGCCTGTTTGCCAATTTGATATAGTTTACGGACGTTAATAGCTCCTATGCAGGAAGCATTTCCTGGATTCAGAAATTTGTTATTTGGTTCATTCCTAATAGGAAGCGGTGAGCAGGCCCTTTGGTCATATAACTGACAGTCAAATGCCCCGGAAACGTTTGTTTTTGTGGCGGAAATTGGCTGGGGAGGGAAATCGGTGAACACAACTGTGAGGGCAAGCGTTAGTTCTTGGTTGCCCATGCCGAAGAAAGGGAGTTGGTTGAGGTATCCTACCTTCAACCTTTGACTCAAAAGTCTGATCCACAGGGCAGTGGGATGATATAAGGTTTGTTCGGGGACCCTACCTTTAGCCTCTCACTCAAAAGTCTGACCTGCGAAGCAGCGGGCAGTAGGATTTCGCTTGAGAACGCTTCCTGGAGCCAATGGCTCAATAGTCTGACCTGCTCGGCTGCAGTGGGTCGGTCTAGCTCGAGGGTGCAGAGAGTGAGGCATCACTGTCTCACTCCTGATGCGGCTGTGCTCAGTAGGTGCCGTTTTGGTATCACCAAATTTCTTGGTTTTAAAAGTATTTCGACCGTGTTACCTAATGCGCCGGTGGCAACGGTCAAACGTTGGGGAATCGGGGTGTGCGGTTTTTAGGGCCAACCTTTTCTAACCCCTCTTTCCTCGCTAGTCGCCTGGGAGAGGCGCCTTACTGACTTCACACTCCTATCGCCGAGGACAGCACGATGTTACTTCCAGACTGCGTTCTAGTACGGGGTCTCACTTTTCTTGGTTTGACTACTCTCTCCTGGCATTGTTGAACCTTGTGGAACCAATGTTCAGTCAAAATAGTCGCCAACATCATTTCCTGACCACTATGTCAATGTGGCATCTTTAGTTTGGGTCCCGTGAATCGGTCCGTCAATGGCTAATGAGGCTGACACAAGTAACCCAGTCACGCAGTCGTGCAACAAAGCTATCCATTTCCCAAACTGACTGAACATGCCATCGCCCCCAATGCTTAGCATTCTCCCACGGTCTCCCATTTTCGACTATCGAAACGTCATCAGCTAGAACCATTGTGCCCATGTTACATGATTTATGGCTGATAAGTTGGTCGATTGATTTGTACGTGAATGATCGCATGTAGACCAGTGTACCGTTACCTCCGTAGATCGGCATTTCATCCCATGCTGACTATATATGCTGTACCAAGGGCTTGTACCTCTCTTTTATTTACGACGTAAGCAATCTGTCTAGCACACCAACCATATCTTCTCGTCCGTTTCGCGTAAATCTAATACTAAATTTGTATTTCAGTTGAGATTGGCGTCACGTTTTCGCCAATGCCTGTTGAGAGTTGTAACTCGAATGATAGGTGTGCATGAGTACGTTTCACCCTTGTCAGTTCTTAACGCTGAGTGGTTGAACGAACATATTGATAGAGTTGAGTTAAGGTCACTACCGTTACGTTCTGGGCGTTCCCCGGAGCTAAAGTCCAACGTATTCCAACTGTGTCCTGAATCTGCCAGATTTGGTTAGTTTTGCAAATGACCATTGGGGAATGGCGCGCATCTTCCCTCTGTTTCATTTTGTTGTTATTTGCCTTTGTGGTGTTTAAATTAATCACTGAATTCTCACCATACTGTACTGTACCTTTGCGACATATGTTATCTTTCTGGAAGTTATCGGATGGCCTCACAAGTAGGTTGAAATAGAAGCACTTTAACTACGTGGTGTTTTTTTCCAGCCGTACTAGCATCCTGATTCCTGTTTCCCAATACGCTACTCTTCCCAAAATTGGGGAATATGCATATTTAGTCTTTTCTGAGACTATATCTTTGGGGTGGGGGTGTACTAATTTTGAGAGTAGCAGTCCTCCAGAAGTCTTTTTTGTGAGAGTATTCCACTCCTCAGTGCGAGACATGGCGGATCACGAAGGCCACTCATCGCATGACGCCCCAGGAGCGCAGTTCTTAATCAAATTATGCAGTAAGAGTTACTTGAGATTGTATGTATGATCTTTGGTTTTACTGTGTTCCCAACCATCTTTAAGTGCTGCGATAATTTTGGTTTGTTTTTTATTCTTTAGATTCAGGATAGTGTATCGAAAAAGTCAGAAGTGAGCGAAGAAGCGCCCCCCTCAGCGACTAAAGTCGTTCCGCCCGTCGCGGTTGATCTTCCTCCCAATTACAACGACACTGGCAAACCTGTTTGTAGCAGTAAGTCACTGGATTTGGAAGCTTTTTTTTCGTTTCATGTTTTACTCAAAAATTCGTTCTGGCATTTCCATAATGTCGGGATAAACCTCACTAGAGATACCGATTTGGTGCTTTAAGGAATCAGCTTGACTCTCATCCCGTTGATTGACTTATCTTGGCTGAGGAAGAAAGTTAGGGATGGGGGTGTTAGAACATCCTATATCTGTCAGGTTGGCTCAACTTCTGCACGCCATCCCAGCTCAATGAACCCGTTTTTAAGTAGCACTTTTCATTCATTAGAGACGTTTTGATATACACTCGGTCGTGGCGTGCTCTCAGGACGAAAGGTCATATACTAGTAATGTACCAGTAGTAATGTACCAGAGGAGGGCTCTAGCTCTGATGGGTTCGTGCCGCTGATTGCTTGACTAGGTTGTCTTCTGCGAAAGTTCCGAGCGGCCTTCCCTCAAGCTGTCGTGCCTGGTTTCCAGATCGTCGCCAGTCAGCACGTGTCCAGTACTTTGCACTAGCTGGTCTGAGAAGTTAGGAAGGTGTTCGGCGTACAAGGTATGCAATCTGAGCTACACAACCTACAGATGTGACTACCAGTTTTTGGGGATCATTTGATTCTTACCTAGAAAGCCCTATGTGCTGAAGGAAAACGATCAAGAATAATGTGCCTACAACTGATCACCGGAGAGTGCCCCAGTGCTAGTGACGATTGAAAACTGCTATTTTACACTCTGTAGTAATGTTTTCCTGTCAACCGAATTCGTGAAATCAAAGATTGAACAAAACACGAGTCTTCCTGTGGTACTTGAAGGAGATGCGGTAGCTGGTTGTCCAAGCCTGAACGGAGATAACCAAGAGTCTACAGGTTAACCGGAACCAAGGAACTTCCCACCAGTGGTTTTCATCCCATCGGGTCAACTATCCCGAGACCATCAAATCCGTAATCTGATTACAGTGCAGTCATGAAGTCCTTAGTAAGCTGTAGAAATGTAGACTATGTACAACTAGTCCGGTGCTCCTGAGAACAGTCGATCGTAAAGAGAGCACTTTTGAGTAGCATTGAAGTTAACGCCTCAGTATCATGTTAGTGTATGGCGCCACCAGTTTCCTTACAAACCTCATTCCCCGGCCTGTAAGATCAGACACACGGCTAGATACCTAGCCAATTAGCATGTACGCCACCTTATTCGCTTTGGGGGCTTCATGATTATGAGCAGGGAATATTACTTGAACCAATGGCAGGAGGATCCGGAAATGTCGCAGCGTTCAATTTGACCTTGATCCCTTCCGCTTCGCATTTCCGTGCCATAGTCTTTTTATCTTACGGTAGTTCGGGGTTGAAAACATCACTCTTTATTACACTGGTTGGATAACTGCAGTACGTGTTACAAGGGGTTAATCTCAAACTTTGTTCGCTGCTCAAGTGATTCCGGTCCGTTATCAAGCAGTTCATTTGCTTGTCATCCCTCCACGTGTGCTTTACGGTTAGCCTAAAACTAGGAGCCTCATGTGAGTTTTTCCCGCTGCTTTCGCTTTCTTTTCATGTTAATTTCTCGATCGTGACTTTACTTCCTATGATGTTCCATATCAGTCTAGTGTATATCTACTCCCGAGATGCACCATTTGCAAAGTCAGGCTTGGTCGCTGTTTTCTTGCAGTTCTGGGGCGAGATGTGCGATGACAACACCGCACAACTCCACTACGGAAGCATCTCTTAATCCCACCATAGTTCACGGAAGATCTCAGTACAAATCCAACATCACCCGCTGACCTAAATCGTTATCAAAACAGAGCGATTTGCCACGTCCGTCACGTGAACCGATGATTTATTGGATGTTCGGACTAATGGCTGCTGCAAAAAAGTACTCCGGCATGCAAAGTGCACTTATATGTCGTCCGATCATAAAAATTGTGGCAGAGGTCAGAATTTTCCCGGTTTTGCGCCGCAACCTGAGAAAGCGTTACTATTACTGAGAGGTTAATTCGTTTTAGAGTGAGAACCACGTATACTCGGTGTATCATGCTCATATTAGATACATGGATGTGATTTACCGACCACTGTTTAATGGAGTGCGCGACGTCTGCGGTTACGAACGATTCTTGAGTCCGTATTATGCCTGAGCAGTTTACGGACACCATTATTTTGCCATTTTTCTGGAACAATAGTCATATCTTTGATGAGGCGGTCTTGAGGGCTCTTCTGTGGATCGGCTTTGACCAGCAAGAAACTCCCTGGGTACATACGTCAATCCATTCGTTGTTGAATTTTTTGGTCAAGATAGTATACTAAACTAGTATACTAGTACAGTAAACTTCCTAGAGCTTCTCAACCTAAATATACCTTGAATAACCTTGAATTACTTATCCTTGAAAGCATACCTCCGTCCTGAGTAAACCATTTTAGTTTGTAATCAACTTTTCGTTAGTTGTTTACAGTAAGGCCTTTGCTATGTTCCCGTGAGGAGACATTAGCAGTGAGGGATTTGGCAGTGAGGACTGCTTCTCATGAGTAGATTCTTACTCATTTTAGTATGATTTTCCTCTGTCCAGTCGCGTTCCTTTATATTGTAGTCTTTCACAACGGGTTCGGGCGTTGTTTTATTAAAAGCGTATCCAATTTGGGACAAAATTGTGGACAAAAACTGCGTCTCTCTCCCCATTTTCTCGTATGAAATTCTGCTATGATAACGGTATTTCCTCAGCTTAGTTCTGTCTGAACCTTCCAAGCTAGCGTGCGCGTCAAAACAAGTACCAAAGGTGCACAGCGCCCGAAATCAGGTCAAAAGCGTTTCTACAGTTTGTCGTATATAGAGTGGAAGCGGCGACAACATTCTGGAAACACCGAAGCCTTCTAGGAACGCCATTGGCAACCGGCATTCTGTGGATACTGAATCATGTCTAGGTCCAGGCTTTCGGCCAATCGGGGCTCGCTTTGATACTGAACCGGTAAGTGGCCCAATCTTCTAACCATTTACGTTCGGGACAGGCTTCCTGGCCATAACAGCGGCTAGCTGCGAGCGGCAAAGTGGTTTCCATGTGGAATTCCCCCTACCAGTTGTCGATTTTTATCATTTTTGAAATTCCACAGCAAACGTAAAAAGCAACACCATTTCTCATCTTACATGAGTGGCCACTCCACCGCCTCTTTTACCGTTTTCTGCGGGACGACCCATACGTGTGACCCAGTTGTCAGCATCCCTATTCAACCAGCTATTCCGATACATTACAGCCCCATTATTTTAGTATTCTCTACGCTGTGACAAGTTACTCACGTCTTGCGTTTATTCATATCATTGGTGTTACGTGTAACCCATCGACAACTTGTTTCTCAGCACTGTGCCCTCCTTGAGGTCTATAATGTTCGGTTTTGATGACTTTCCAGAGGTTTCTGACATTCTGGTTGAATTTAATTGCCAGCTGGATAAAACGTGGAAATTTCAAGACATTGTACTTCCAGATTAGTGTCTTCATTTTGAAGACAGTTCAAACCAAATAACGATGAATCTATTGTAGCTCTCTGAAATTAAATTCTCGGATAAAAGCACGGCCAAGTTTTATCAAGTTCAAATTGTATCGCGTCGTGGAACAAAAGTGAGGAAGCCGGTTTTTCTTATTAACCTCGGTGTCGTGCTCAGTTGATTAGTGCAGTGTAAACACGACCGAAAGAATAAAACCAGTGAAGTCGAGATGCGTTTAAAAACTCCAGGGACATTTCCTATTGGACTAGGGTGCCCATGGGGCGAGATCTTTCAGTGGTTAGAGCGCGAATTTACTGACCGGAAGGTCTGTGGTTCGAACCCGGAAAGCCTCTCGACCTCCTCTGTCTAGACTTGGGCAACCTGACAGTATCCCAGCCCTCGTGCTTCCTTCTGGTGGCATGGTAGTTAGGCACTGAAAGTGTGCTACAGCTGGACGATTTCTTTAGGGTGCCCATGGCATCGGAGATTCCTCTAAATTTGATTAAAATCTCGATTTTTCTGACGCTAGAAATAACACAGTTTCTGTACTTATCATTATCAACTCAAGTCCTTATATGTTGGAAAAAGCCATACTGACTTCCCTTATCCGTGAATAGGCATATTCAAGCAGGTCACCAATAATCTTGTGATAGCCTGGAATAGGTTGCTAGAAATATTAGGTTGTGCAAAAGCTCACATTCCTCTTTGCACTCAGTCTTCTCCGTTTCGATGGAGAACGTCAGTTGAATGTTGGCACTGTCTTACTACTCAGCACATACTCATTGTGTCCAAAAATTCAGTCGGCTTAGTTACCGGGCTTATTGGATGCTCTGAGTCGGAGCAATCGTATTAATTTCTCCGGGTGTGCCCTACAGCTTATGCCTCTGGCGCCTTCCGGTGTTGCATTTGGTCTTCGCACAGTCACGTGAATTTTTCAAAGCAGTGAGCATAGACTTCACACTTGTCGTTCATGCAGGGCTTCATTGAATCAGGTGTTGGTGGCGAAATCGATCAGGTAAAAGACGTGGTTACCATCGTCATTTCTACAAGATTGTTCGACATCATCGCCTATTCGTCGAATTGGGCCGTGTAGTGTAACCAGTGAATATCATTGGAATCAGCTTTGCAACCCAATATTCGCCAGTAATCTGTTGGTTCAGTCGGTTTGAAGGAATTACATGTCAATCATCTCACTTTCGCATGACGTCTTTCATATACTGGACGGGACCACTATACACGGTGACCAGGATGTCCAGGACAATCGTACTGGCCATTGCATACCCTATCTGTTTGTCTAGCTGTTTCACTCTCAATAACAATCCACTACACAGTTATTAGGGCTGGTAAAACCTCGAGTCTAGTTTGCGGAACTTCTGCAAACACGGGAGATGGCAGGCATTCATTGTCCATTTGCTACTTGAGGTAAGTGGCGTGTTTTCCAACCCTGGGTCCAGAATTATTGACTTAGTGTTCTTAATCCCAAAGCACAGACGTCCTCGACTCCTTCAAACGACTTCAGAGTCTCATTTGCGAGCTGCAGTTATGCTGACAGTGGGAATGTAAACCTTTAATAACCACTGTTGTCTTCCGAGTGGGCTTGTTGAAACTCCGATAATCCTTGGAACATCGTCTCGTCATTCTCTAACCCCAGCTTCGGTTGGGACCTTGAACGAATCGTGCACTACGTCGATTGGGTTCGTAGTCCATGAGATTTTGTTCTGATTGTTTTTCTGACGACCTGCTACACCGTACGATCGTGTTTTTGGACACCGAAGTGAGATTGTAGGGACACAAACGCACACCACCACAAGTGTACATGCACAATGTGGCCTCATGAAATCGTGCTTCTAACTTGTTCTGTGTCTCACCAGTCTCAGCTACTTGTATCAAAACACACACACACACCACCTGCCTGAGCTTACGTTTGTTATTCTCGGCTCATTTTCTAAGCGGCTTACAATCCTTCAATATTTGTAGATCGAATTTCTCCGTGGTTGGGTAATTTGATGCAGACGGCTGTGTAAACCAACTTATTTTCAGTAGTAGGTTCGGCACGTTTTCCGTGCGTCAATTGGCTTCAATGAGACCACCTCGTCAACGCTTAGCTGCCATGTAATCCGAGAGCGGTGCGAAGCCTGAGGTGCCGATAGGTTGCACAAAACTGGACATAACTAATCGAAATGCTCATGCTGCGTTCAAACCTATCGATCATTTCAGTAATCCGGACAAAAGAGATTTTTCGGACACACCCTTTCGCGAGTTTATAATTCCTGTACGATCCTGGGGTGAGAGACAACTCTCAGCAGTGGCCCCTAACCCTGCATTGTTCCCTCATGAATTGGTTGTTGCAGTTTCCACCTTAGTTCGTCGCCCGTTTGAACTCGAATAAGTAATAACTGTGAAGGTTGGACCGCGATAACTTGTTATCTACATTCATAGAAGGTTGTTTGCGAAATAAAATTTGTTAAAGCACTGGCGGGAAATAGTCTCAAATTGATTGTCTCGAGGAATTCCTGCAAGCGGTCTCTCTAGCCTTCTTCTGGATTCACAGGACCGCACAAACTCTAGCCATGGAACCAAGGGTTGCTTTCTTGGAAGCATGGGCTGCCCGATTCACCGGTCCATGGTTTTCCTAATCACAGGTCCTCATGTCTTAATCAGATCGGTTTCAGTAAGTCATAAAAGATTAGGGGTGAGAGTACCGGTCACAATTCTCAACTTTTGTAGGTACACAACAATGTAGTAAGATCACTGAGAGGTCCCATTGTGAGTCCGGTCGACGACTGAATTACTCATAAGGTCAATTGTTGGTCTGTGAACGGGTGGACATTCACTTTCGAAGTAAGCACGCATTCCAAACAGTAAGGAGTTATTTTTTTTTCAAAAAAGGAACAGGGGTTTAGAAGATTTATCATTTAGGCTTCCGTGTCGTGAGTTAAGTGATTTTGAAAAGCCGAGAACTGCAGCTTTTTTTTATCTCAACTGGTATTCATCGGCAGTGCAAATCCCGCGAATTTCCAGGTAGAATAGAACTTTCGATTTCTCTGCTAGTAGTCAAAACATTAACCGATCGGCCACGAGCGACCAGCAGTGTGAAAAACCAGCCCTTAGAAGGGATAAAGCGCCACTCGCCATTCATTCACATCATCATCACGTGTTGACTGGTCCCTCGAATGAGGACCTCTCAGTTGGAAGGTTCGTGTGACTTGTGGATTATTCTCCCTTGTAAGCTCCTTATAAGCTACTAGTAAGGAGACATCAACCAGCAGAATGCCCGGAAGGGTCGAGGAGCTTTCAAATCGAGAAGAAAATAACAGGGTTACAACCACTAACCCACCGCTACGCATAACTACTCGTTGATGATGTCACCTCGATTGGTGATGAAACGTTTGTAATTAAATTGCCCAGCTCAGTGGACAAGCCAACGACCAACTACCAAAAATGTGGGTTACAGGTGTTGATCACTTTTCCCAAGGTAACTCATTCGGTTTACGCTCTAGCCCGCAGGTTAGTGACATGCTATGCTTTATGTTTTATTCGTGTCGCTTGATCTCCCGAGTAAAGTTACTTTTGAACGTACGGCTTGGGCAAACTGCCGAAGACCAGCCACTGCATGGTCTACGGCAAGAACAATCCTCCAGACGGTAATTCCCCTTCTCAGAAGAGCCCAATTACTTCTCGTCTGTGATGACACATCTTTGTTCAACTTGCGTACGTGCATGTAAATTGTGATATGTTGTCAATTCATATGGTGGAGAATAAGGAATACTGCCTCTCGAGTTTTTCATGGGAAAAAGAGAGCGAGCAAGGCTTTCCTGTCATCTAGGTAACGTACTGTGTATATTGTATGTAATATAGGTGGAGTACTTAAGTCGATCTTGGAGGGAGACATCCATGAACGTGAATGTGATTGGAGGACGGAGCGCTGTTAGGTTATTTCATTGCGGACTTCCACGTTGGAATCAATTCCATGGATGTTATCAGTTACAGTTTTCCAGGCTTCATAGTCAGAGTAAGGTAGGCGACAATGGTGGTCCACCCTTGCTTCTAGTGGCGAACACCGCAAATTCTCCCGTGTTCAATCAGTGGATCTTAGATTTGACAGTGACGAGCCATCCTGTGTGATATCGCCAACGTTTGCTCATCTGGTTTGCGGAGAAATTTTCCGAACCCTAAGGTTTTGGGTTCCGAGCTTTTGATTCTGATACATAGTTGATGGTGAAACTGCCTTAACGGTGATGCTTAAACATCGCTAGTCAGGCGCTCCGGGCTATCGACCCTTATGGTACAGATCCTGTATCCCGCTCTGCACCATGAAGTAACTCTCAAATGAAGGAAAGGCTTCCATGTGTTTTCACTGCGACCTTTGATGAGAAAGAAGACGTACATATGTCGATGAGTTATAAAAATGGCAATTGTGGACGTACTTTGGGTGAACTTTTTCACCACTTCGCGGACGCACAACTGTCGTCTGGTTTTCAACACTCGCTTTGGCATTCTAGTCAAATTTAGCATGGTGCCTGGGAACAGCTTGTCGCTATCCCCATTGATTGAGCTCCTTGTGATCTGAAACTGACCTTGACAACTCATTTGCATAATCAATGCAAAACAAAAACACCTTACACAAAGCGTCAAACGTATTTATATTCATTAAGCGTCCGTAATTGTAGCTTGCATGCCAATGAATCTGTTTCTTATGCTCCGTCAATCATTTAGCAACCCATCCTTCGTGCCCGTGATTTGAGAGGCTGGCAGTGTGTGCCAAAGGCGTATCTGTGAACGCTGTCGTTTGAAGTCCTAACGGCTCCTGTCAGGTCGAGGATAAGTGTTGGTGTTCCTGATCGTTATACATGTCTTATTATAGGCTGTTGCAACGAGACCCATACTCACGCGGGATAGAAGAACTATCCGGGTCCTCAACTTTTCTTGGTGAGGATTTTTCCTACTGACATTATAAGTATTCGGTACTATAACTCGCTAGATAGAACTGACGACTACGGTTACACACTATCAAGAACCGTCAGTTGTTGTTGCCGCTGTTTGAACGAGTTGCCGAACCGCAATAGAATTTTGGGCTGGATGCTGAAACTCTAACCTCCAAGGTCCTCCTTCCAACTGCCCTCTGATCTTTTGAAGGAAGTTGTCTTGATAAAGGGTGCATCAAACACGGGATGAGCAACTTTACTCGTGCTACGGTGGTTATGGTTGTAATCGAAAACAGTCTAATTTGGGTTCAAGTAGAAGATAAGATTGACGGGAATCGGTTACTGTGTCTACCTGATGAGCCCCAAGAAGGGCGAAACCGGTCGTGAGCTGTCGAAGAGTTTTTAGCAACCTTGTGAGTAGTTTCCCTCATGAAAATATACCGTGATATCTCGAATATCGCGCCAACTGAAACATGAGGCGGCCTGTGTGCAGCACATTCAGTTGTAGAATATCATAAACGAGAGATTCAGTTGAGATCAAACCATGCTTCCAGAGCCGTCAATTGACGTGCGAAATAAATTTGTTTACCTGGGCAGGTGTATAAATTCGTGTGGACTAGCCGGAGGCGAGAGCACTTTTCGAATCGAGCAGACCAGGACAGCTTTAGCTAACTTCCGACACCTGTGGTGCCGATGTGACGTCACTGGCGTAGTTTACGCTGCGGCGTTGCGATCCATACTGTTTTTTGTGGATTAGAAACATTGCCTGTACGTACAGGGATGAGCGAAAGCTGTCAGTGTATGGCCATCGGTATGTTCGGAGAATCAGCCTGGCTTGGTGTAAAAATCGGATTCTCAATGTTGAGGTACATCAGGTGGTTTTAGGAAACATGGGGCCTTTCATGGAACGCTTACGCCTCATAGGTTACACTGGCTAGTACATGTACCCCGCATGCCGGAGTACCGTTTGCCTTGTACAGTTCTTCACACCCAGCGGTGCCCTGAATGGAAGGAACCGAAGTATGAAAGCACTAATCAACAAACCGAATCGGATCGACAACTGCCTACTCCCTGGATGGGGCCACGGAACTCGACTGATCAATAGCAGACATAGCTCACATCGCTTACTCCTTCTCGTGGTTGAGAAATCTACCTCTTTCCAGCTTCCCATGTCGTCTGTGAGTGGGAGGGAAACACGGATCCAACCTTTGTCTGAGTGCTGGACAAATAATATGAATGTAGTAGTTGGGAATCGCTAGAATTAGCACTGCACCGTACATTCCTGCTGGCGCTGTTGAGGATATATTTGACTGCGTATTGATGGCTAGCGTCGACTTCGGTCAGCCTGTGAGAATTCGGCTTCTTCGCTCGTTCCGCATGTCATCAACATGGGTTGAACAGTAGTTGCGCTTTGGAACAACCTTAAATAACTACAAAATGCATCTTTTCTAGCCATTCACCCATTTCTTTGAATTTTTCTGCAGGGCCCACTTCCATTCCACCGGTCTTGATGCGTCAGCTACAGGAGAAACTTTCTGGACTTCCGAGTACTTCAGAACAACCCGGAATCCGTGGTAAATTTAATTTGTTCCTTAGAATGTCCAGTTGCAGTACTTACCGTACGTTTTAATCAGCGAACCTGTTAGGCGAAGTGCAAATAAAGTTCCGATGCCTCCTTCACTTTGCTGATTTAGGTCCCTCGCGGAATTTTTTCTGTGGGTTGCCAAACTAACTGGCTATGCATTCGAAATCGATCAGTTTTGACCCTGAAGTAGTCCATGAGGTGACCACTTCAAACCCTAGCGGCTTACCTGCCTTTTCCGGGTTGATGTTTCCACTTGAAGTCGTTTTTTCTCTGACGAGTGAATTTTCGTACTTCCCAAACGCAGAGTGCATGCCTCAGTTCATATGGTGCACCGGTCCTCTTCCGGCAATCGTATTTGAGTGAATTTCAGAAGCCAGTCGCACTGTCCCCGTGTTTTTCCACTAATTTTACTTAAAGAAGACTGCCATGAACCGTCTGTGTTTCCTTCACCTCCATTTAATGTGCACATCTGAATGACCCACTACCCCAACATATAGCGTGTTGTGGTATTGCGTATCATTGACCAGTACGGCACCATATACCCAGTTATTCTATTATTAGTACAGTACAGTGTATGGTGGTACACTACAGCATAGTACAGTGTAGTATAGTGTTATAGCATGGTACGCTATCATACTGTGTAGTATGATGTAGTGCAGTTTAGTACTGTATGGTATGTTCCATGTCAAACTCTTCCACATCTCGGAGTTTGTTCAAATTTAGTGATACAGTTATCGATGGCGTGCATCCTCTCCAAACGCTCCTTCCCTTTTATGTTCTCCTGCACGTTCTTGCGCTTCTCTTACTTGCATTTCTATGCTTGTCCTTACGTTCTTCATAGGCCAACGGTACCATCAGTATATTACAGTTTTGTATGGCATGTCGCCAGATTAGCGATGGGTGACCCGATTTCCTAACTCCGTTCACGCTAACTCCTTTTCCTCGATTCAGACTCGACTATTTCGCAGCCGGCAGAACCGAGAGAAAAGCCGTCAATCGCTCCGCGACCCTCTATGGACGTGCTTTTACAGCATACCAAATACCGTCAAATTTTGGCTTCCGCTCCTTATGTAATGAGATCCAGGTCTGCTTCTGGTGATAGCCAAGATTCTACAGATCCTGCGATTAAATTAAACAGCATGACCCCTTCAGATATTACTTATGGTCAGGCGGCCACGGCCTAACTGTTGACGTTCGCGAACATGACCTCAGGCAAGCCGAACTGTTGCTGGACTGCTCTTCAACGTGATTGCTGCTTTTTAGCTCTGTTCAGGTTATCCGGGGTTAACTATGTTACATCTATGCACATTCACTTTACTATACTACCGCACCTTCCCGAAACACATGTGTGTTGGCCTGAGTACCAAGGCTTCCCACTCCACCGAGACTGACTTCATCATTTTCTATCCGTCACGACCACATGTCTTTTATTTGGACGCTCCATATCGTCCATCTATTCTGGATTTCGATTCCCCTTACCTACCACATTGTTCCTCGCACTTGTTTTTGAAATACTGGATGAGCTTGATTGACGAAAAGCTCCGTCACTTGGGGCTTTTTTTCTCTATTTTCGGATTATCAAGCATCATCTTCGGGATCACCAACGTCTTGTGATTTCAGGGCTAGGTCGATTGTGGTACCGATGGACTACTGGGCAGCTTACTTATCTGGGTGAGTAATGTCAGTCCTGCTCAGCACAGTTCATTCTGACACCTGTGAATGTGCGCTAATTCGGGTGACCACAGCATGCAGCAGCGGTTGTTGTAGGATGAGGAGAAAACAAATGGAACAATGAGAGGCGAATGGCAAGTTATTGATTAAGAAAAAAACCGACCTTAAGACACAAGGGCAACCTTAGTAGGATTATCCAGTGTTGCGTATCGTTGACCTTAGAACTCCACATGGTGAATAATATAATAACCGTTCAGTTGTGACACCTTTCCGGTTCCTGGCTGCCATGCCACCCGAAGGAAGCACGAAGGCTGAGATACTGCCAGGTGGTTGCCCAAACCTAGACAGGAGCAGTCGAGATGCAAAGGTTGGATTCGAACTACAGGCCTTCTGGCCAGTAAATTCTCGCCGAGCCATCTCACTCCATATGGTGAACTAATATCTATCACTATGTTGTACCATACCCGTATAATCAATTCTCAAGCTGAACCGTGTAGAAGTATTTCACAGACTTTTGTGATCAGTTATTTTTCTCCCAGAACGATCCGTAGGCGATGCAATAAGTACAGAAAACCTAAGTCCAACCCAAGGATTGCCAAACTGTCAGTTGTCAAAATTGCCAACTATTCGTTCTGTACCTTTTCGAAACCGCACAGCCAACTTTACCGAGCAAAATGAGTGCGATTTTTATTCGTATACAAACAATCTTTCTGGGCGTCGTTCCGAACCCTACACTGGCTGTTCAAATTCGCTTGAATCTGATTGGTTTGATTCCTGGCTGTATTTGGCGGCCATCGTTTGCCTGAACTGATCTGATTGACTATCTGCATTGAATCCTGTATACCGAGTGACCTTAGTTTATTGTACACTGAAACGCTTTGTCGGCAGGCCTTGAACCGTGTTTGGCCGATGACGTTGAGTTGTAACTTGTCGAAGCATCCGCATCTCCTTCTACCCATGCTGATGCTTCTGCCATGAAACCTTTGGGTTTGTACATGAACTTTCAAGTCCTATGAGATCGCTACATACTACCGGTTTCCTGATACGAAAAAAAATTTCCCCTGACAGTCAGAATCTCTGGAACCTCATAAGATACTCGATAGCCTCGCTTTCCATCACAACTCTTCTTTTTTGTATTCCCTCACTTGTCGGTCAGAGGAACCCCGAATCGTGTTTTCCCATAAAACAAACAGCGTTCATGTTTAGAGCTACGGTGCGTGATGCGAAACCAGAAACTGTGTTTCTTCTTGTCTGCACGTACACGTATAGCCGTTTATTTTTCCCACTCCAGCGAACGCGCCCACGGTGCGTGTTTGGTATCGCCTAATAGTATATCACCGAGGCCCCATGCCATTAGACCGTGCTGTCTTATTGAGAAGCATATTTACCATCTAACAACTCGTGTTATCCTACTGATCCCGGTATTCCTGACTAAGGCGGTCATTTTGGTAACTCCCCGACCTACTGTTTTTGGCCAGTTCGGTTCCAGTCACTGGTGAATTAATTTATCACAGTCACCGAACGTGTACCGCCATTCTTGTCAGCATGGTGCAACGCCTTTTTGAAACAGCGTCACTCAGTCAAATCAGCCACCCAAATCAAATGACTCGTTCAAACAACGGATTATTCAACATTTGACCTTTGGTTAGTTTTTTAAAAAATATTTTCCTACGCAATAGCCTGAGGGCGAAACTGTGTGGTGCGGTCAGTAGAGCTTGGCCAGTACAGTGCTGATAAGTCTTTGGACTTGTGGCTTGTGAGTGTAGCACCGTTAACACCGACCAACCCTTCTCATGGAGATTCCTTTGCGAGCATTGAGGATGTTAGCTGATTTCATTTGTGTGAATCCAACCGATAAAATCTACGATCGAACTTAACCATAGTAGGTCGTAGTATGGTGCGTTATGTGCAAATCGTTGTGATGGCTGAGCAGTGGAATCAAATGTGGACAAATAGTGGAAAAAGCCTATAAAATTTCATGTGCATGCTTACGAATTTTCTTCGTGGCACAATGGCCTTCAAAAGTTGGTTTCGGCAAAAACAGGTGACCCAATTAAGTTAGTGGGAAAATACTTTAATCAGCCCGATAAATAATCGTTTCGTGAGGATTCTCCGTGCAGGTATATCGGCCTCCGGTACCCGCGATAACCCGAAATCCGGAAGCTGTTTTGTAGACACTGATTGGCAGTGCTCTTTAGAACTGCCGCTGATATGCCTACGCAGTGTCGTACATAGTCCTGGGGCAGTGTTTTGCAGGTTTTTAGATGGCATCGCATGCCAAGTGTTGTCCACTCGAGGTGCCTTTTCTCCACTATTTACGTGAACACGCCACTTATGGAACAACCATTTGACAGTCCCAGTTCCTTTGACCTATGTTCTGTACCGAACCTCATGCTTACCGGACCAGAGATTGCGGTTCCTCTGTGCATCCTGCGCAGATCAAAATGAATGTCAGCTGATTGTTCACAGTGATTTCTCACAGACCCGATTTTCAGTTGTTTCTCCCACGACTCACAAAAGATGCGAGTTCATGTGCATCATTCAACGCAGTACGCATGCAGCCCCAAGCTGATATGAGGTATTTTTCGTTGCATCAACAGAACCAGCTCAGGTGCCAGCTTGTTTCGCGAACAGCTTACTAATCATAAGTATCTACTCAAGCTAAAGTGACAAAACTTGAGTTACACCTGCTCTCTCTTTCTCAGCATCTACGCTATAAGGCACGAATAGGGGTCCGTTTCATACCACGGTCTCCAGTGCCTCCAAAATTCAGTGGTTAAGGCTGAAACTTACTGACCGGAAGGTCCCTGTTTTCGAACCCGATCTCGAATCCTCGTGTCTATGCTCCGACAACTTGAAAGTAGCTCAGCCTGCACGCTTTCTTCGATAGCTAGGCACCGGAAGGATATTGCAGCTGAATGATTATATATATATATATATATATAAATATAATCATGTTTTTACATCGATGAAAAGCGATTGCTTGGTTTTCAGTCAAAATTCTTCCGTTAAGCTTTAGTTTTTGGTCCCGCCTGACTGTCCAACGTGGCGGTGGGTTGATAATCGAAGGTAGCAGAGATAGTGAGCCACGATACGTGTTGGTTGGGTCCTTCTAACAATTGTGTCTCTGACAGTCCTAGTTGAAGATGAAATCGGGTGAAGATTAGCTTGCGACACTGGATTTATGTAACTCGGCTCGCACAGGCCTCCCTGTTATTCTAAAACAGAAGTTCTTGTTATCACAACACTACCTTTTCAAAGCTGAATGAAAATGGGTTGTCATTTAGCAGGGTTATCGAGCTCAGACCCTGTTAGTCTGAAATATGAACTTTCATCGGTCGCAGGAATTGTCAAAGGGGTTCGGATTGCACTGGCAAGTTCATGTTGGAGTAGCGGAATTCAGATCAGTTCAGTTTCTAAGCCACCGAGCGCAGAATGCACTGTTTAACGTAACCGGTTTGAGCAAGGTTAGTTTGTGACGACAAACTTAGGTTGCCAAAACCTGTATTGTTCGGGACTATTTTCCAGCTGAACGTGACGGTTGTCCTTTTGTCGAACCGCAAGTCCTACCCTGTTGCCCACCAAGCCCTCATGGTTCGCACGCACGTCCAATCCAACTATCACTGTAATAAAGTATCTCCTGGTCCTTGGATGAACCCTAAATGTTCGGCCTGACCCATAATCTCTGCACACAACTATGTGCACTAAAATACGTGCGGGGCGATGCTGTCGAACCTTTTGTCACGTGTTCATTTTTTTCCAGCGCACCTTGCTTGTGTGACGGACAATACTACACTACATATATGTATGCAGGGCAAACAGGTGTGTAAAACATGCTAAATAATTGACTGACTTCGCAGGTGAGCTGGTGGTCATTTGGTGCTCAGATAAATCTCGTTTACACCAATTCCTCACCGATTGTGGAGTTCACTCCCGGTCCTGAGGAGTCGATATCGAACACAACAACGTGTCGATTTCTGTGTACTCTGCTGCGGATGTACTTTTTGGTTTTATTTGGCTGCATAAGAAGTTCGTCACCGAAGGCTGTCGGCGACGGCACTACAGCCTCCATGAGGGGGGTGTTATTCGGTTGAGTAACAGGACCTCATTCTCCCGGTTGGGTCATCCTTGAACATCGTACAAGTGTCTTCCAGTATATAGGCGATTTCGTTCCCTCTTTTCCGTACAAGGTAATTATGCCTACTTCTTACATGTTAACCATCTTTCGTGTAATATCACCCTAGTTGGTTCCTTCTATCGTCTGCTTCTCTAAATTCGCTCATTTTTGCTTATGGGGTCCGTATTCACTGGAAACATGAAAAAAGAGGTGGATTGAAAAAATATGGATGGATAAAGTGTAAGTGATTCGAGGCGGGCGGTTTTACTTGATCCTACACTGCCCGTAAGGTTGTTAAAACTCTTCGATATGCCCTCCCGTGTTCGCTGTTTTGGAGCTCATCAGGCAGTCGTAATCCAACACTTTCGATCAGTCCCGTTTTCCACATGGTTCTACTAACTATAGTCAAGTAGGAAGGTTGGTTGCTTCCTGCTCTGGATAATTTTCGTATATGTCACTTCAAATCAAAGGGAAGTAGGGTATTTTATCGTGAACGGTCAAAGTGTTAACTTTGCGGGCTCCGTCAGAGGACTCACTACAGTATTCTCGATGTTTCATGAAGTCAGGAGCTTTAGGCTTGATGGTCGCTCATCTAGCTGTCTCAACCAATATTTGGAAGTGGAAGGAGAAATACTAATCAGCTTGATTAGTTATTTAACCATTATTTCAGCTTCTTGGTCCCAAGATGATCACATCTTGAGACTACCCACGTTACTGTCCCTGAATTTCAGCCAACTGAGTTCTGAACACTGGATACTTAGCCTCCAAACTGATTATAGAGTATATCAAAGATGTTGGCCGCTGTA